TACTTTTTCTACTTTTACTACTTTTACTACTTTTACTACTTTTACTACTCCTCCTCCTCCTCCTCCTCCTCCTCCTGCTGCTGCTGCTGCTGCTGCCACTCCTCCTCCTCCTGCTCCTCCTCTGCTTCTTGCTACCTCCTCCTCGTCCTGCTGCTGCTGTTGCTGGTGCCAGTATTGTTATCATGTATCATTGCCATCATTGTGACTATTATCTCGCTTCATGGGATTCGACCGGGCCTTGCGGACATGAATTCGGAAAATTGCCTTTCGCTCCTCCTGCAAAGCCAAACACAGAGAGAGAGCGAGGGAGAGAGCGAGAGACCAACAGAGAGAGAGAGAGAAAGAGATAGAGATGAAGATAGAGATAGAGATAGAGATTGAGATAGATAGATATATATATATACCTTCGTATATTTATGTACGCACAATGGGGCTTCGGGTTTAGTGGCTTCGGTTTAAGAGATTATGGCGTTTGGGTGTAGGGATAGGGGCTTCCGCGACTTACGACTTTACGGTTTCAAGCATCCTAGAATTTAGCGCTCATGCCGGCTAATAGGAGACTCCACCCTAAATCCTAAACCCTTAACCCTGAAACGTAATCCCTAAACCGGATCAAGCAGCGAATCAGCGACAGTCCCGAAAGGTCCTCATCGGGAAGATCCACTTGGATAAACCGATCGAAGCCTCGGCAACTCTCAAGGACAATCTTAACCCTCAACCCTAAACCCCTAAAACTTAAACCCCTTACCAAATCCTAAACCCCTCTAGACCCTAAACCCCTAAACCCCTACACCCTAAAACCCTTACTAAACCCTCAACCCCTAAAGCCCTAAACCCCGAGCACCGCTGTTGTCAACAAGGCTGCCGGTGCTGGCGAGCCTGCCTTTTAAGGGCCCGTGATAACAGTAATAATGAAACTAAACGCAGAATTTGTCACAGTAGTTATAATGGTAATAATAGTAATAGTGGTGATAATAGTAATAATAGTAAAAATAGTAGTAATAGTAATAATCGTAGTAGTAATAATAGTAATAATAGTAATAGTATAATAATCAAAAATAATAATAATAATGACAATAGCAATAAAAGTAATAATTATTATAATGAAAAATAATAGTAAGAATAGTAACAATAGCAATAATAACAGTAATAACAATATCAAGAATACGACTAACTACTGGAGCTTTGAGAGAAGGTCCCACAAGGTCGCGGCGACCCGGTCGCAACAAGGCCGGATCGATGGCCTTGCAATCCAATCTTATGGCGGTCGGTGAAGTAGGTTTAGGGTTTAGGGTTTCGGGTTTAGGGCTTCGGGTTTCAAGCTGAAGCTTTAGGAAGACAGCGAGGTTGGCGTCCCCAAGGCAGGCGAAGACAGAAGGGGGTTTAGGGTTTAGGGTTTAGGGTTCAGGGTTTAGTGTTTAGGCTTAGGCGGGCCTCATCAAGCTCTCAAGACCTCCCAAGGTCGCAACCCACAGGAACCGAAACATGAGTTCGTGTACGTGTATGCATATTTAGATAAATAGGTAGATAAACAGATAGATAGATAGACAAATATGTAAATAGATAGGTAGGTAGATAGATAGATAGATAGGTAGCTAGTTAGGTAGACAGATAGACAGATAGATAGATAGACAGATAGGTAGATAGATAGAGAGGTAGCTAGTCAGGTAGATAGATAGATAGATAGACAGATCGATAGATAGATACATAGATAGAGAGATGGATAGTTAGGTAGATAGATAGATGGATGGATAGATAGATAGATAGGTAGATAGGCAGATAGGTAGTTAGGTAGATAGATAAATAGATAGACGATAAACAGATAGATAGATAGATAGGTAAATAAATAGATAGATAGGTAGATAGATAGATAGATAGATAGGCAGCTAGTTAGGTAGACAGATAGACAGATAGATAGATAGATAGATAGGTAGATAGATAGATAGATAGTTAGCATCTGACGTTGGGTTTCCGATAGGGATTGGGCTGCAGGTGCCTCCTGGCGATTGGTCGCGCCAAGGACGACGATGCCATCGCCATGCCCATGAAACCTCTGCAAAGCTCTTAGCTCGTAGAGTTTAGGATGTCGGGTTTAGGGTGATCAGAAATGCAGCAACTCACTCTAGGACTCTAGGAGCAGCGGCCCATCCAGCTCCGTGAGGATCTGGTTCAGGGTCTGCACATACTCCTGCAGATGTTCCGAGGTTCCGGGCCTGGGGTTTAGGATTCAAAGTTCGTTCATGCAGGATTTGCTGTCTGCCTTCAGGAAATCAACAGCAAGGCAGCAGGGCTGGGATGGACAAGTGTGCTGCTTCAAGGATCGGTCACAGCTGCAGGAATCCGCAACTCGAATCCCTCGCAAACCTTGCACCATGATACAGGGGCCTGAATGAGTAGACTATACTTGACTGTACTTTGCATAGAGACCATAAGGGGATACTATGGTTAATTATTTCGACCTATATATTACTGCCTGATGGTTTTCTTATCACACGTCTTGAGGAAGTCTGAATTCCGGCAAAGCCACGGACGGTCGCCCTGAACAAAGTAGCTAGACATCATACATCCGATTACGACTTTCTGCTTTGGCTAGGAAACCTGTAATGAAGTCCCCAGCTTGACATACTGCAAGCCACAGAAGGCTACAAGTGGCCGCACAAAACAAGCAAACCCTGCGTTTCCCAATGACTCCAAAGCCCCTTGCCTTATCGCTTCACTCAAAAGTTAATGACCCCTTTATTCAGGAAGATCCCTTCAATCAAAATTGGGTAGTTGTCAAAATCACAGTTAACCCTGCTAGGGAACCCTATACAATTCTACTTTCAAAGCTAACACCCACCGAAGTCTCCTCGCCCCCACCGAGCCCGCCCTGACCCCGACTGCGCGTGCCTGTTGGGGCGTCCGGGCGGTGGGTGTTTTTGAGTGTGCATCTAAGGGGCTTGATAGCTTCTTGGGGCTTTTGGGCTTTAGGAATTTTGAGGTTCTCAGAGCTTTAGGGCTTAGGGGTGTTGAGGTCTTTTGGGGTTTAGGGTGTTAGTTTTTTTAGGGCTTAGGGGTAGAAGTGCTAGGTTTCATTGCTTAGGGCTCAGGAGTTCAGGATTCAAAGATTCTGGCCTCAGCAGGTGGGCGTTCCAGCCATCAGGGTTCCGCGGCTTGGGGTTTGGGGAGTGTCGGGGTTGGAGGAAGCATGCGAGGCATTGAGTGTCCTAAGTTGGGAAATTTGTCGTTACGAGTTCAGGGATATGTCTTTTCGGGTTTAGGGCTTAGGGCTTAGGCTGAAAATGGTTGAAGCAAGCTAGAAGCGATTCAAGCATTGCAGTCTGGGCTACAGATTGGGCACAGACTGCAGAAGAAAACGGAAGTCAGATTACAGGTTCCCCACGGAAGCAGCCCAAAAAAAAACCAAATCCCAAACCCTAACTCAACCCTGAAACCGGAATTTCTTACATGATGATTTGCTGCTGGAGCTAAAGCTTTTGTAAGAAGCTGGGCTTGTGCAAGGTCTTCCTGTGTCGCGAGAGTTGCAGAAGCATGCTTCCATGCCCCTTCGTCAGAAGTCGGGACAAAGCCGCACCTAGCGCATCCAGCTCGTCCAAGAAAAGCACCACGGGTGCCATGCTTCTTGCCTCAAGTTAATCTCTGGAACCCAGGCTTCCCGGAGCAGTCAGGTGTTTGTGGCCGAAAGACTCTCCGCAACGAGCACAGGCACGGTTGCTTTGAGGAACTGAGACCTCCACCTGTCTGAAGAGATCCCTAACTCGCGAAGCGCCGCGGCCGACGTAGACCTGGCAGGCTAGCCCCTGCGACTTTAGGGTTTAGGGTTTAGGGTTCAGCGCCCTAACGCCTTTAACCCTAAACCCTAAGTCCGCGGACAGCTTGCCCTCTCTGTCTGCCGGAGCTCTTTTCGGTCGACGCTTTCGTGGGACGCGGTTCGAAACGGCGAGCATCACGAGACTGCGGAGGTCTCTGAGGCTCGCTTCGAGCCTGGGGCTTGGAAGCCTTGCACTTGCGAAGCCCGACTCCTAAACTCTTAGAGCCTTGGCACTCGGTATACCGGCATCACTGCTGCGACTTCTTGTGTCACCGTTGCTGTTACTAGCTTACTTTGATGGCTGTGGAAGAACCCCCGAAGCCTGAGATTCTGACAGGGTGGCTACCTACAACACTTGGGGGGAGCCCAGGATCAAAACATGGAAGATCTAATGCCCGGCAGGTTCATCTCACGTTCTCTTCCGGCAGGGAGGAGCCTCCTGCCACGTGAGATCAGGGAAGAGTTAGGGTTTCTGGCTTCGAGCACATGGAAGGAAGGGGCATGGGCCAGGCGAAAAAGGAAAAAAGGCCTTGTAAGAGGGACTCCTTAGGACCCGACAATAACCCCGAAACCCCAAGCCCCCTGAACTCCTAAACACTGTATCACGTCCCACCTTGCCGTCCTCCCTGGCTTTTTACTTGACTACTCCACTGCCCTCCTTAGGAGGAGCCACGGGTCCTCCGTGAATTCGAGTGAACCTTGGGTTTCAGCAACTGCCTTAAGGTGGCAGCTCTCCTTCGCCTAAACACTACAGCTTGCTCCCGATGGAGTGCGGTGCTGGGGTGTGGCTGGAGGAAACGCTGGCTCTAGGATCTCGATCTTTGTAGGAATCGGTGTCAAGGGAGTAAGCGTCTACACACGGTTGAGCGTGCTTGGCAGCTCGGAAGCCGGTCCGGCAGCTGTGGGGGCACTCTGTGCATCAGTTGTGCCACCAGTGCCACCCTCTTCCTCTTCACGTGCCTCTTGACCGCCGCTCTGCCACTCCACCAGCCCCATGGAATGCATTCCTAACCGGCGCCGCAAAGCAGCCTGCATGCGCATGACTCTGTGCCGAGAGCGGCTACATGCATGGAGCTCTTTCTCAATGTGGTGGACAATGTCGCGACTCTCCTGCGTGTCCTTTGCTTTCTGGGTCTCTAGCCTCAGTTGAGATTTTCCACCTAGATCAGAAACACTAAACCCTAAACCCTATACCGAACTGACTCCTCAATCTCAGATGAGCTGCCGTGTCTTGTCGAGAAGCGTGCCTGTGACCTTCTGGCCCACCTGAATCATTAGCAATACCGCTCCCTAAGGGCTCCTTACTATAAGCATTACTCTCATCTACCCCAAGCCCTTGTATGACCATAAAGGCCCTTAAGGAAAGAACAGTTATGGGAACCCTTATCCAAAAAACCTTGAAGGAGCCCTACTCTAACTACTAGCTCAATATCAGTACCTATATAGTTATGGCAACCTCATCAAATAGAAACTTAAAGGAACCTTATTCTATAACTCTTCATGTCCACCAGCTTCTGCTTCGCTCTGGACTTGGAGCTGTCTGGCAGCTCTCGGATGTAGCGCCGCAGGTCGCGACGTCGATCTGACCACCTCGACAACATCTCAAGCTCTCACATAGGGTTTACGGCCGTTTAGGGCTTAGGGCTGAGGTTCAAGCACTTACATGCGAGTGGGAACTTTCCTCAACATGCGAAAAAAATTCTCACAAAGAGCTTGAAGGCCTAAGCCCTAAAGCTACAATACCACGAAAAAAGCCTCAGCCCTCCCTAAGCCTACATACAACACCACAAAAAAAAAAAGAGATCCATCCACCCCCCCCTTTCCCTTCGGAGAGCCTGGACTCGGCTTCGAGGACCCGGAGTCTGTTCGAGAGCTTATCCTCCACCTCCGCCCTCCGGGCTTCTTTCTTCGGCCTCGCCCGTAACCTCGGGGGCTCCTTGCTGCCATTCCTGGGCTCTTCCTTTCGGAGCCTAACTCAAGTTACCCTAAGAAGGGTACCATACTAAAGTTACCATAAGAAGGGTACCATATTAAATTTACCATAAGAAGAGTACCGTATTGAGTTATCATGAAAAGGGTACCAGATTATTCGCTGGATCCCGATGATGGCAACTTAAAAGAAATTCCTGAAAAGAACCCAGATTCCGGGACTTCGAGCCCTCGCTGTTGTAAGAGGACAGGCGGGAGGAGGCCACGGAACCCCGGCTGTCCAGCCTTTGAGATTTCTCGGGGAGTACCTGCAGCAGGCTGCTCCGCACGGGTGGCTCGCGCCCTTTCTCCTGCGAGTCCTCTTCTCCGAGCGCCTCCGCTTCCGGCACCTCGGGCAGGTCGTGGAGCTGCACAGCGTCCAGGGCCACCGCCGGCTGTGGTGCAGGCTCTGGCTCGACCGGCTCTGAGCACGGCAACACAACCACTTCCGGAATTGAAGGCCTCCTTTCAGGCAGCGGCTCAAGCACTGACGGCACGGAGGGCCTTCGTCGTGGATAAACGAAGTGATAGTGATCATGGACATGCTCATAGAGGTGAACCGTCCTCACAACCGGTGCCTGCCAAGATGGTAATGCTGGCAGGCTCTCCACCCCTTCCAGTCTGCGGGCCTGGACAGGGTTCCCGGAACCCTGTCGTCGCCTTGGGGGTACCAAAGGCAGCGGAGGTGCCATCACCGACTCAACATTCTGGCAACAGGGCTTTTCCTAACTCGGATCCTTGGAGCCCCGAGCCTTAAAAAAAGCGACGTGGGCGCAAGACGGTCCATGTCCGGAAGGCTAAAACACCCGCCCCGGACTCTTCAGGTCACAAAGCCTCGAAACCCCAAACCCTGAACCCGAAACCCTAAACCCCAAACCCTAAACCCAAGCCCCGAACCCCATACTGAAACCCGAAACCTGAACCCAATTAAACGCCAAACCCTAGACTGAGTATCGACTCTCTCCTCAGCCAGTCCAGGTGATCTTCTTCTGCGTGCACTCGTCGACAAGAAGCCTCCAGACTGAAGAGGTTCAAAAGGTGGCATTCCTAAGGGATTGATTTTTCTTTCAGCCTGAGGCTGTGACCCAGTCAAGCCCTCAATGGTGGGATAGTTGAACATGACTGTCGAAGGCAAGTTGACCTTGAACTCCTGGCATGCTCGGACGGATCACACAATGTCTCCGCAATTGGGTTTCCCAGAAAGGCTTCCGCCTAAAGGCGTCTTTCAAACAGCGAAGCTCTGCTCCGAAACAAGCGTGTCGCTGCCAACCCCTTGCAGCTGTGTTCGGAGCTCCACGCTCGCCAGGCTGTCCACACCGGACCTGGGTGCCGAGGAGAGCTGAGAAGACCAGCGCAAGAAGCAGACTAAGCAGACAAGCACAGCGGCGAGTCTCAGAGCTGCCTTTCGAGCTCTGAAGATGGAGGTGCTCTAAACCACTTCTGGCTTATGGTGATTCCCTGTCCCGAGGTTCGAGGCACGAACTCCATGAGTGGCGTGTCACCATCAACCTCGTCACCTCCGCCGACCATGTTCTTCACCATCGCGATGATGTGAGTCCTTGGCACGACAACGGTTTATGGAGTCCGTGCCTTTCACTTAGGCCTTGGCGTCACAGATGCACTGAGCTCTCTGCTTGATGGTGAGTGGATCTGGTGCAATGTAGGCCTTCAGGACTTGGGGCCGGAGTGGTTGGGCATCAGGGTCGCGTGACACACGTGTCACCATCTGCACTGTCCTTCTCCAGGACTGCCTAATAAATCCTACCCCCATTGCTCCGAACCAGAGAGCCCGGGACAAAACTCAAACCAGCTTCATGACTTGCGAAGACTGAGCCGACGGCCAAGTCTTCAGAGGTGGCTGCCGAAGACACACCAGCAAAGTCCTTCCCGACATGAAGATCAAGTTCTGAGAGCAGGTCGGATCAACAGAACTCAAAGGTGCTCTTGAGCCTCAAGGCTTTCGTCTGGCCTCTGCTACAAAACCATCCGACGGCCTGTTTCATGGTGCAATGCCCATAGGGGCGTGTGTTTGTGCGCCGCTGGCAGCATATCTTTCGGGATGCTTTACGGACTTGAGGTGCATCCAAGTTTGGCTTGACAGCTGCCGCCTGCAACGACCCTCTCAATCCATCCGTTGTGATGCGGGCATGGGTGGTTTTGTGCGCCGGAATGAATGACTGGAAGCAGACCATCGCATGCCACTTCGAAAGAAAAACATGAAGTCGGATAAGGCTTGCTCAGTTGAAACATCACACTTTGAGTTTTATCAAAGCCCAAATTAGACCGAATTCAGGTGCTAGACCCTGTCTGAAACGTAGTCGCACAGAGCCACGACCAGTCGCAACCGTGCAGATACAATGTAAGCGGCCCTCCTGTGTCGGGGCAGCCACCGCTGCAGCCTGTAGCGCAAGCAGAGTCACAGAATGATCGTCAAGGCGCACTAAACTAAACAGAACCCTAGACCGTGCGAAGTACTTTGCAATCTCCCTGCTGGTTCTCTCTGGAGCCGCGCCTGCGGTGCAGCTTCCTGCACGCCCGAGCCTGGAAAGCCGAATCACAGGGTCTGCACATCAAACCTTGCGGGTTTAAGGCTCCAAGTGACCATCGCCCTCCTCCCAGAACAAACTCACAGACTCTCAGACATCAAGCCACAACTGACAACCCCACAAGCCCAAACGAAAGAAGCTAAGAAGCAGCTCCTGAACGAGATGCCCGAAGACAGACTCAAAGCAAAAAACAAGAGCCCAAGGGAAGAGAGAACTACTGTTGATGATATATAAATCCTGCATTACCCTAGAAACCCTAAACTATGGGAATGTGGTATATTCCTCATTCTGGGTAATACAGGATTTATATCATCAACCGTACCCTTTGTCTCAGGTGGCCGCCCAGCACCAGCTCCTTGAGCTGATCGGCCATGGCTTTGGCTGGCAGCAGGGGGCGAGCTTCTTCCATGAGTTCAAACGGGTATGTATCATATATTCGTATACTATATACCAGTGTACGGCTCACTTATACTACTAGTCTAATCTACTATATACAGAAAATAGAGATTTATTATTGAGAATTTGAGTCATCGCCATAATAGTGATAGGGATTCATCCCTGATGTTATCTAGAGCGGGGGAGATATTTCCAAGATTATGTGCATGATCTGCGTTCGACTTCGGGGGAAAGACCGTTCAAGAGGGTGTGGGTTTTGGGTTTGGGGTTTAGGGTTTGAGGTGAAGAAACCCTAAAGCGAAAACCCTAAACCCTTAATTTCGTTTTAGGGAGAATGGCGTTCATTCGAGGATTCAGGGCTCGCGGACGAGCCTCCGCCTTACAACAGATGCAAAGCCACACTCGCCCCGAACCACCGTTTAGGATCTGGGATTCCCAGGAGTTTGAGGTCTCTGCCCTAAACTTCTGAAAACTCGGCTCTCCATCCCAGAACCCGAAACCCCGAAGTGGAAGCTTCAGAGAAGAAGGGACCCCAATACAGAAGCCTAGAAGAGTAGGATCCCCCTTAAAAGGGACCCAAAGTTCTCTGAACTGATCATCCAGAAACCTGACTCCTTAGTAACAGCATCTCAGGTGGGAGGGGGTTTAGGGTTCAGGGTTTGGGAAGGCCTTCGCTCCCCTGAACCACAAACCCCAAACCCTCCGCGAAGCTCCGATAGACGCCCCTGATCTTGGAGGAGCCTTGCGGATCGCCAAGCTCTTCCGCCAGGCCCTGAAAGCCCATGACTTTGGGACTTCTTGTTTTTGAGGGCTCCATCGAGGTCTGAAGGGCCTTAGGGCTTGATGGCTTCTTAGCTTGTAGGGCCTGTAGAGCTTTCATGGTTTCAGTAGAAGTGACTGTTGAGGGCACTTTCCCTCCCGCCATGTCCAATGCTTTTGTTTGGAAAGCTCTCGACCTATGTGCAGGAGGTTGCGGGGATTGTGGTGCCTATATCCATAGGCCTTGCGGGTGCTGGTTCAGGATATTGGTATTGCAGAAGGGTCAAAGGGCTTAGCTGGTTAGAGATTGGACTTATCAGTTGCAGTGGCTGGCTTTCGGGAACAGCTGCGTTAGCGGTGCTCGTCGTTACTAGTTAGTCGCGTCTTCATCGTCGGTATCTTGATGAAGATGGTGATGACGCCGATGATGACTGTGACTGGCGATAGTGATGATGATGGTGATGGTGGTGTTGGTGATGATGATGATGAAGAAGATGATGATGCTGATGATGATGATGATGATGCTGATGATGAGGAGGATGAGGATGAGGACGATGGTGGTGATGATGATGATGATGACAGTGGTTGTGGTGGTGATGATGATGATGATGACCACGGTGGTGGTGATGATGATGATGACGGTGGTGGTGATGATAATGATCATGATGGTGATGGTGGTGATGATGATGATGGTGATGATGATGATGATGGTGATGAGTCTTCTGAGCGTAAGATCCCAGAGCTCCGTGCGTCGGGAACTGGGATTTCGAAAATCCAAGCATCCCCGCCTGCACGTCTTTAAGGTTCTCTTTGGCACTCTTGACGTCCTTCTCTTGCAGGCAGATCTGCACCTGGTCGTACAGCACAGAAGCCCGAATACTTCATAGCCTCAACTTGGTCAAGAACCTAAAAGCGAGAAATTTCTCAGTAAACCGTGGTCCAAGTGCTGGTTTGTCGACCGGGGAGTGCCCCTTCGGCAGTTCGAGCTGAGTTCTGTGCCAGAAGCCCACGGGCGTACATCTCGCTGAGCCTTAGTTTGTGATTCGGTGAGCATTACGTACCAACTCAGAGAAGCGCGGGGCCCATCATATAGTGTCCGAGAACCCCGACATATCCCGTTTGGACTTCGCAATCTCAAGCGACACGTCGGCGTTGACGCGAGCTTCCTTTGGACGACCTGCGCCACGGTGAAGGCTACGGCTAAGGACATAGAAACGCAATGCCAACAAGAGCTGCTCTGGTATCTGACCAGAGATGGAGACTCAGGGGCGGGCCCATCATGATATGCATGGTCCCAACCTGAGCCCCAGGTTGATGAGCCTTCCGGTTCCTCAATTAGTCTTCTTCTTCATTTCTGGGTATACTACTCACTTGTGACGACAAGTTTCAACACGGAAAGTCGCACAGGCTGGGCAGCTGCGACTGCATGCTATGAATTGCGACTCTCTGTACACAGTATGGTTTGTGTATCATGCTCACACGCGGACTAGCCCAGAATCACATGCGAGGCGTAGCAGTGAGCCCATGAGCGACGAAGCAGGAGAGGGTAAAGGATCTAGTGTCCAGACTTAGCTGGGGGTACTATACTCTGCAATCCCGACCTCTTTAAACTGTTTGGAGTCCACCCTCACCTCGTGAGGTGTTCATACTCCTTCACTCTTGGTGCCTCTCCGTGCGGAGAACCCTCCACCCTGAAACCCCTTGCAGACGAGACACCCAGTAGTTGGCCATGCACTCTGCATATCGATCCTCCAGACCTTGTCTTAGCAAGAAAGCAAGAGGACCCTTAATACGTAGAACAGGGTTACGATGAAGGCTCTACAAAGCTTCTATATTCAAGGGGGCCACAAAAATTGGAATAGGGTTTGGATGGGTTTGGGAATTTATTACAGTATCTTTGTTTAGGGACTCGATACTAGTTATAGAGTTATAGTATAGCTGTTCAGGCTCCTGACATTCTGGCGTTCTGCAGCATCGCGGCATGCTACAGCAACTTTCAAACACCGCAGAACATCTGGCAAATGCTCGTCGTGCCTGGAACACATGTTCCCCCATACTGGGCTCTTCGAGGTCAGTGCAAAAGGAGTTTCGAGGCTGGACAAGGGACCCACGCTGAGAGTCGAACGTATGCTCAACTTCACGCCTTCTTTCGCCAGCCGCATCGCTTTCTCACAGCCCTGCCTGCTGGACCGCAGTCTGATCATCGTAGACAGATTATAAGCCAAATGCTGCAACACATGACGTGGACGCCGCCTGTAGATTCGGACCTTGCTCTTGTCCTGGATCCGGGCAGGTGTCTTGATCATGCTAAACCCTAAACCCTCAACCCTAAGCCGCGCTCAGAAGTCCTCTGGGTCCATCGCTGTCAGAGACGTCACCCAGATGTCCATGGCCAGGAAGATGTACTTCACCGTCCTTAACAATCAGACTCGATTTTTCTGTAAAGGTTCTTCCATGGGTTACTACAAGAGTTCCATAAGAAGGAAGCTCACCGTCCGGAGCGGATGCTGCGGTTCCAAAGGCCAAAGCCGCAACTCAAAGATCCCGGCCCTCTCATGTCATCATCTGCCCGTGAGAGCTTGATCGCTTCGGTAATGGCAGCTTTCGCCTGTGCTGAAGAGTCTTGGCATTAATTTCGGCAGCTGGGATCCCGAGGACAGCGCTGGGATGCACTGGGGCTGAGGATGTAGGGTTCAGGGATCAGGGTTTAGGGCCGAATAGGGTTTAGGGACTCGCCGCCAGATTGAAGTCCTGCCTCATCATGAGCGTCGGCCGACATATGCACCATCGACGTCGTGTGCCTTAAGACACATCCAAGAAATCAGGAGAGCCTCCTTTAAATGCCGAGCAATCGCTGAGTCTCAGGCTTCATCCTTGCCATCAAGCGTGTGTCTCCCACGTCCGCACAGAGAGTCTTGGCAAAAAGCAGATGCTAGCCATGGAAGACCCACACGCACGCTCCCCTCGGCTCCAACCCGCTTCTCCCAAAACAACAGCCCCGCAAAGCCATGCTCATGTTCAAACTCGCAGACTTGCCGACTTAGATTCAGGCACGGTTTATCCCGTGTCTGTGTGCACAGTGTACGTGTGACACGGTACATGCACAGGGTTCAGATGTTAAGGGCAAGGCCTCTGCTCGCTTTGCAGCTCGCAGCGCGGAAGAGAAGTCATTTGCGGTCATGTGAATCCTTGGTTTGGAGCGGAGGGACTATAGTATACGATTGCACGCTGCAGTGTATTATTAGAGTGTACTAAAGCATACTACGATAGTAGTCCATACGGTATCAATGAGATCACCTAGCAGCTCGAGCAAGCTATCAGAGCAACACCGGGGACGAGACGAATACCCTTGATGTAGTTGCACGGCAAGCAGCAATGAATTTGGAAAATCGTAACCAAAGCTAAGGCAACCGATGTCAGGCTGGAGCTTACTATTCGCGCTGGGGCTAAGGCTCCGACTGCATATGACTATATATTAAACATCCCAAGGAATACTGTAGTGTATAGTTTAGGGTTTAGGGACTATACATTAAAGAAAACCCAAGTAGTGTATACTTAGTTATTCAGGCGTCTGAATTCGGGCCATAAGGAGAAAAGCTCAGAAGACGTTCCAAGCCTGGTGAACCTCCCCTACCCTTTCACACGGAAGCCACAAATCCGACAACATGGACTCCCCTAGAACCTTGCAGTCCTGCAGGCATGGCCCCCCTGAATCTGACAAACACCCCTTCCAGGTGGCCTCAATAAATAGAATAAGGTCTGGTGGGCACAGTATACTCCAAAATAGTATTGGAGATTCTTTAGGCCCCTGTACTACGATTACACCTCCTGTCGCTGCAAAAAAGCTGGGGGCCCCCGGCTCTGAGAGGCCCTCCCACACACGGCATTCACCTCTCCTGTGAGGGGCTGAAGAGCTCAGACTAACCTACGGGGGCCTTAATAATTAGAATAGGGTGTGAGGGTCCTTTGAGTATAATTACAACAAGGAACCCTCAAAATATTTTAGGTAATTATTGAGGCCCCTATATTATCGGGTTCAAGACACAGCGGCACCGTTAGGTTCTTGAGCTTTGAGCTTGAGTTCAGGGCTGTGGTCTGAGCGACGGCTGCATGATCATGGGTCCAGCCCAACCTAACTACCAGCTCCAACCACGAGCTACTATATTGTGCTACACTACACCACACTAGACTATACGATCCTTTACTGTACTATGCTATAATATCCTATACTACAATACAATATGGTATAGTATTGCCCCAAGACTTGTCCAGGTCGGGAACTCCCAGGCGCAAGCAAGGCTTCAGGCATCATTAGCATGGCGCAGTGGCAGCGGATTCTCCGGTCTGAACAGTTACACATAGCATTCTTTCAGGCTTGCTTAATGGAGTTATACCAGAGTAGGGTTTCTTGCTGGAATTATGCTAAATTATACCCAAAACCTGAGAATTGCAAAGAATCCGGACATGCGACGACAACTAAGCCCTAGACCACGAACCGTAAAAGGGACCCCAAAAGGGAGCCGAACTACCCATGTGTTCAAGAGACGAGGCGGCTCAGGCGTCCTGTCACCATCCTCCTTGAACATGTCGATGGCCAGGTCCGCCGCCTTGACAACTTTAGGGCTTAGGGCTTGGGGCTTCGTTCGGGCTTAGGGTCTAGGCTTTAGGGCTTAAGGCTTAGGGATTAGGGTTGAGGGTTGAGGGCGTAAGGCTGACCGTTCAGGGCTGAGGGTTTAGGACGTAGGGTTTGGGATTTAGGGTCTAGGGCCCAATCTGGTTTTCGTTGGAACCCCTGGGATGAGGAAGGGTCTGCGCTTGAATCCTGGATTTCGATTGCTCAAGATGCAAATCCCCTGGTCGTAATTCATGATCTCCGCACATGCATCTTAAAGACATAAACGACTGCACACAGACCTACATATCTCAATAATGGAAAAACCTGCGGCCACAAAAAGGCACCATGCTGTTCTGCACAGAGAGTCTGACTTGACTAGAGGAGCTGGTGCTAGCAGTCTTTGAGAAGAAAAACACAAGGTGGTTTAATTCTTCGTCACGTTTGAACGCGCTTCGCGGCAGATTTGTTGGAAGCATGGACGCACGGACCACTTCTCCAAGAATGAGCTACGAAAGCACAAAGGCAAGGGAAGAAGAACCGCAAAAGAAAAGGAGGAGGTCAAGCCAAAGCACACAGGTCCAGGCGAGGGAAGTTCGAGCCTAGATTCAACCTAGATTCGGACTCTTTTCTTCTACAAGAGTTCGAATCTGGGTTCAACCTGGGCTTGAACTTTTTTTGTGAATTGAGTTCAACCCAGGTTCGAACAACTGGATCTCGAATCTGGGCTTCAGGCGTTTCTGCGACAGAGGGACCCGAAACCCTAAACCCCAAATCTTTAGGAAAACAGAAGTAACTAAGGCATAAACTAATTAACAAGAGAACTAACTGCCGTAACTCCCCCCGAACTCCAAACCCTAAACCCCCAAAAACGGATAACAAAAACCAGCAAGCCGTGGACCTTGATGCCACCCTCGGGATCACCGAGGAGGGCCTGCACACCTGAACAAAGACTTGGAGTTTAAAGGGTTCAGGGTTTAGGGTTCCGGGTTTGGTGTTTAGGGTTTTGGGTTTAGGGTTCAGGGTTTTGGCTTCAGAGCCTTCTTTTCAAGGGTCCGGGGTTCAGCTTAGGGTTTTGAGGTCCTGGGCGTTAAGCTTCTTGGGCTTTACGGATGGAGGGTTTCGAGTTTGGGGCTTTAGGGTTCCTGGTTTAGTGTTCGGGGTCTATGGTTTGGTGGAAAGCTCTCGAAAGTTTGGGGCTCTTGGGTTTTTAGAGCTTTCGGAGGCCAGAGGGGTCTGTGCTTGCAGGCTCTCTGGCCTATAAAGCCTGGGCATGCGGGCTCAAGATCTTGATCTTACAGTATAAAACGTACTGCGAATAATAACAACAGTAGCAATAATAATAATAAGATGATAGATAACAATAATAAGAACAGTAATGGCACTAATGATAATAGTAACAATCATAATAATAAACAATAATGATATCATAATAATAGTAATACTCTTAACATGAATAATGCTAGTTACTAGTACTAGTACTAGTACTAGTACTAGTAATAGCAATAGTAATCGTAATGCTAATGGTAATAGTAATATTAATGGAAATAGTAATGGTAATAGTAAAGTATGATGTAACAAGTATGATGTAACAGTAATAGTAATAGAAGCCAGAACAGGTGCTTGGGTTTTGGAAGGATGAGAGGCATTCATCCAGCATTCCAGGCGGCCTCTGAATGTGCAGCTCAAGGATTCGTGGCTGGGAGCTTCGGTGTTGGGGTATTCGGGTGTCAACGAGCCGCGGGCAGGAGGATAATAGTAATAGTAACGATAATGATAATTGAATGTACTAGTACCAGAGATAGTAACAGTACGAGTACTAGCAATTGTCTCAAGGTAAGTCGACTGCAACCATGAGGTTCAAGCTGGGACAGATCCCTTCCCCTCACGAAGACCAGCGACCATACCGCATAGATGAATGGCTTTTTTAGCCGAAAACCCTGAACCCGAAATACCCAAACTCAATCCAAGGAAGGTGCCCTTCGCACTTACAGCTAAGCTCTCCACGGGACTGGATGGAGAGACAGAAAGCCTCCAGAGGTTTCTCTTCCTTAGAAAGCGCATGGCTGCTCAGCCCCAAAGACTGATAGACTCCATCTGAGTAGTTCTCCAAATGAGGATCCCTTTTAGGGTCCTTTGTAAAAGGGCGCCGTACTCTGTTGTGGACCAAGAAAAGGGACCTGCTTCCTGAACAGCAATGCTTGAGCCTCAACAGAGAGGCTTGCTCGCGACTCTTTGCGTAGCAAGGTAACACGTTAGTATAGGGGCCTTCATAACTACCAATACTATTCTGGGGGCTCCTTATTATGATGATAGTATAATTTATCCCAAAACCCTATTCTAAGGCCCCTACCTTATCATCTACGGGAGATGTGTGCGACACTACAGTACAAGCTCTCGAGGTTTCAGGGGGAGTCCCTTCCTTGTGCCCTCAGACACGACCGCGAACTCAGTGCCTCGCGATTTTCTGCGCGATGTCCTCACAAAGACACAAGTTTAGGATTCATGGAGCTTCCTGCCTTCAGGACCCTAAACCCTAAACCCCTAAACCGGAAAGACCGAAAATTTGAGGGCTCCCGGCTCCAGCTGGTTGCCCAAGGCCATCCCGCCCAGTAGTCCTTGGCCATCTCGATCTGGTTGTGGGCCTCCTGGTAGTTGTCCTGGATGATCAAGACTTTCGTGAGGACCTCGGCTCAGAACTGCTTGGGGTTTACAGCGAGGGTTCTACAGACCTTTAGGCTTTCGTGGTTTACGGCTTAGGGCGTTTAGGGCCGCCGGTAGGATAGCCAAGGCTCGATTGGCACAGAAACAAGTCTCAGGGGAATGGAGACAGAAGCAACTCGGGTGCTAATAACTCTGCTGCTACGCCAGATCGACAACAGCAATCAGTCGTGCTACTGAACATGATAGTGCGATGCTTTGTTTATTAATCACTCTTGTAAAAACCCAAACTTGAAACAACCATCGCTGCAAGTACACCGGCATAGTGGCATAGCCGAAAGCCGTTCTGATCTGGGAAAACGGGCCTGGAGTCGCGTGGTGATCTCATCGTGGTCCGCACCCAGATCTTTGAGCAGACCCACTGCTTCCTGTGGTCCAGGCAGAAGCAGTTGGAACTAGTCCACAGGGTCTTTGCACATGCCTACTAATAGGAAGCTAAGGCTGTGAGCTTTTAAGTCGATCCCAAACCACAAGTGCCTTTGCCGCATAGAGCGCGTCGTTGTTCTGCTCCGCCTTGCGCAGGTCCGGATGCTTGGCTCTGACTTCGCAGGAACTGCCAGAAGATGCCCATCGCACAAACAACCCTGTCTAATCGAACTCCTCCCTGGTTGGCGAACAACTAGCAGTCTATGTGGCAATAGAGTCGATGAGGAAGCTTTCCGAATAAAAGCCTGTGACCACATCTGAGTTGGCGATTGTTTGGGCAACAGATCCAACACCTCCAGTTTGGAATTTAGACTTTAGGGGTTTAGGCTTTTTAGGGATTACGGTGTCCAGAATCCCGTGACGGAGAAAGGATGAAACGATGAAACCAGAAGCTGACGGTGTTGGAATCAGCCGCTGAAACCCGAACCCCAGACCCTAAGCCCTAAAGTTGCACCCTACACCCTAAGCCTTAAAAAAACACCCTACATCCTAAACTCACAATTGCAGCCTCACGCCCCACCCCCAGCAACCCCCCCCAGAGGCCGCTACCAGCAGATGAGCATGGCTAAGCTCTTCGTAGACGTGCGCCTTCAAGCGCCTTCGGAAGCAATTCATCTCAAATCCCATGGCCCCGGACCCTCGTTGTGGAGTTCCTTTCGGGGGTCCTTTGTCGGGTTCAGGGTTTGGGGGTTATACGGCTTGAGGCTGAAGAATCTCTTCTGCGAAACTCAAATCAGCATACCCCCGCGACTGAAGCCTCCGTCCCCCAAAGCCTCAAAGCCGAGGGCAGGACATGCAGCCAACCTCTGTCGATAATGCCAGGGCTTCGTCTGAGACCTCGTAGCTGCGGAGCTCCGGTGCTACATCGGAGCCCAAACTGAAGTTCGAGGGATTAGGATGTATGAGGGTTTAGGGAGCTTTAAGCCGTCTGTCGTTGTAGGATGAAAAGCGGAGCTGAAGCCTCCCAGGAATTCTTGCTCGGGTCCAGAGAGTCCGAAGTTCCAACCTTCAGATTTGTGCCGGCTCCAGATCACAGCCGACCTGTGAAAAGTATAAATAATACATCATAATTTATATATTTATATATATATATATGTATGTACGTTTGTACGCACGTACGTACTTACGTACGTATGTATGTATGTATAGCATATGCATATATATATATATGCATATATATATATATAGATATATATAGATATATAGATACATAATATATATATATACATACATACATACATACATACATACATACATACATACATACACACACTGATACAATCCTAGCTTCTAGTCGCCTTGATAATAGCAGATGCACAACATGCCCAGCCGAAAACGTTTCACACGGCACTCCAGTTCTTGGAGAAACTGCATGCTTTGGACTACGACCGTGATGCAAGTACGTAAGTACAACTCGATTGAAAGGCTATAAAAGACTTCTGCAACACTTCCGTGGAGCTTCTTGGCATTGCCAAACGAATCCTCAGGCATGCATATGGCAGAAGCACATAGTGGAGGCTCCCCACATAAATATTGCTGCACTCAACCAAAGACGGGTTTATCTAGCTAATTCCGGTAAGCCGGGCCTCCGCTGGAACCCGCAACCTCAACCCCTACCCCTCAGGGCCTCGAGTACTTGGTCAATGTCGCCGTAGACGGACAAAGCGTGGATCAGATGGTGCAGGAGGTAAACGGTCTGGCCAAGAACATGGCAGCAGCAGTAGGAGTAGTAGTCGTCGCGGTAGTAGCAGTAGTAGTAGTCGTCGTTGTCGTAGCTGGAAAGGGTGGAGTGATGGTGGTGGTGGTGGTGGTGTTGGTGGTGGTGGTGGTGGTGGGTCGTCGTCGTCGTCGTAGTAACAATGGGCAGCAGCAGTAGCGGCAGCAGCAGCTGCAGCAGTAGCAGTAGCAGTGGCAGGAGCAGTGGCAGGAGCAGGAGCGGTAGGAGGTAGGAGGAGGAGCAGTGGAGGAGGAGGAGGAGGAGGCGGAGGAGGAGGAGGAGGAGGAGCAGTAGCAGCAGCAGCACTGGCAGCAGCAGTAGAAGTAGCAGTGGCAGTGGCAGCAGCAGTAGCAGCAATAGAAGCAATGGGAGCGGCAGCTGCGGCAGCAATAGCAGCAGCAGCAGTAGTAGTGGTGGCGATAGCGAGTTGAAGGAGTGGTGGTAACAGCAGTAGTGGTGGTGATGCCAGCGGCAGTAGCAGTGGGAGTGGCGGCCGTGGTGATGGCAGTAGCTGCGGCAGGCTGTTCCAGCCTGGCCGCCTGTTCGGAGACAACCGCCTCCCCGAGCGCTCAGCGCTCGGAAGGCTTGCGATGTTACCAGCCCAGCAAAGCCTTCTTACAAAGGCATAGAATTTAGCCTTTGGCCAAAGGAAGCAAAAGGAGCTCTCACTCGGGAAGCTTAGCAGCTAAGCTGCGTCACCAATCGCAAGCCCTAAGCCCAAGGAAACCGCATGCGAGTACCGCCCGGGCACCCGAAGATGCTCTGGTCGGGTCAAGCATCCGTGCCTTCGTCGTCATCGCGCAGGGAGCGTGCGGGAAGGTCGCAGTGAAGACAGCGCTGGTCGTTGCCCCCGTGACGACGATCTCGCCGTTCGAGTTCCGGGTCGTGACAGAAGTGAATCCGTTGGAGGAAGTTCCGTGCTTATACGTCCCCTGCGACTCACCATAGGCGGCAAACTTCATAGGTGGCAGACTTCATCCGGAAGATGTCGGCGCCTCGCCCCCCTCCCCCCTGGGTGGGTGAACTCCGCCATCGATTCATATGTGGTGCCCGCGAGGAAGAAACCGCCATCCACGTCCTCCAAGAGAGAATCCGCACTGTCAAACTCCGAAGTGCCAAACTGCCGTGTCCATAGCACCATTATCGGTTGAGCCTATATTAGAGAATCCCTGCATGGATCCTGAGGACCCTGTGTGAGGAGGATGTCCGCGCTCGAAAGCACGACCAAGGCCTTGTCGAGGGTCGCATTGCTGTCGATCTCCAGGGACCACCAGGACAATGTGCCGTCGGGTGCAGGGGTCGCAACGCCCAAGGAGGTTGGATAAGCCGGAAAGCTATGAAAGGTCGTGTACAAAACGAAGATTTGTCCGCAGCAGAGCCACATGCTGTCCATCCCCAGGGCTCTCCATTGGTGCCGAACGTCTTTCTCCATGCCTGGAAGTGAATGTCATCACGAGCGCGTCATCGCTCCTCGACCACCCTTCATCATTGCAAGATAAGACCTTCCCCACAACTTGACAACGAAGGAGCCGCTGTTGGGGGCACCGCCAATCATCGTCGATGTAGGTGCTCGCCTGTTGAACCCAGAAGCTGTCACTCCAGGGAATGGTGTCGGGTGTGATGCCAGCAGCAGCAGGGAACTTCATGATGAAGACGTCTTGCTCATGATCCCTGCCAATGTGGGGAGCGAAAAATGTCCCCAAAGTTTCGCCAGCGATCATGTCGCCGCCTGTGGTCAAACCCACCCCCGTGGGACTGTCATTTGTCCACTTTGGTAGCAGCGACATGATCGTCCCTTCAGAACGATCCTGTCGCTGCCACAGTTGATAAAGCTTCCAACGTCGACATGCTTGTGAACGATGCAAGCAAAAGGTCGCCTGCCGCCATGGCCATGTTGTAATTGACATCAACGGTAACCCCTTGGATCGTCGTCTGCAACCATACCGGCTCGCATACCGGCGAGCTGGTCTATCGCCACGACTGCGAAGGTCATCGTCAGCGCACATTTCTGCACAATTGGCCTGCAGTCCTGTCATCAAATTACAATTTGGTGCGTCTGCAACTTCGACCACACTCACCTCGTACGAAACTACCATGGTGAACAACACTTGGAATTCAAATCTCGCAGAGCCCTACTGCAATGCTCCTTGAATATGGAATAGCCGCGAATAGCCTTTATTACATTGTCACTGGAGTTGGCATGCTTTAAGTTCAGTCCGCAAGCCTTGAAGTTGGCTTCCTTTGCAGATTACACGGGCTTGGGTCCGCCGACGTTAGTGTTTAAACGTTTACAGGGAGCTGCAGGGCTAGAGTAGAGCTTACACGGCAGCAGCATATCCAACACTTGCACTCACAACAAGCACTCCAAGCGAGTCTGTCTTCATTGCAAAACTTAAACTGCAAGTGGGAACGGGGTCTAATTACTAAAGTCGCACCCTCGAACCCGAAGAATCTCCCAAACGTCCCCTGGCCGGCGCGGAACCTCCCTCTTCTGATCCGTGCGCGGCCGCGCGCGCTCCAAGGCATCCTTGCAGAGCTGCACGGCCTGCAGAAGCAAGATCATAGCAACACCGCTTGAGATAAACACCACAAGTAATTTCAACAATAATAGTACTAACTTAACTAACACTAAGATTAATAAGAAGAGGAGTAATGTCGATAGTAATCATAACAACAGTAGCAATAGTAGCAATAATAACAATACTTATAATCACTATTGCTAGTATACTAAGCACTGTGACGGGAAAGCGCGACTGCCATATGATGGTGATGGTGGAGGGAACGACGACCAAGGTACGTCGGCTACACAGTTCACACCATATCACCACATGCGACCACAGCTGGAGCACTGTCTGCATGAATCCTGGGAGCTCGTTCAGGCAGCAGGCCAAGCCTTCTCGGACTGGTTGTTGAGGATGTAGGCTTCTACGAGGAAGCCGATGGCGACGCCCTTGCAAAAAGCCAGCGCTCTGACTCAGAAATCCCCAAGCCCAAGCGAGCCCTGCCTCCCAGGAGATTGCGTCATCTAGCTCCTCGTGACTGGACAGGGTTACAATTTCATGATGATGCATGATTCGGAACAGAGCAGAAAGCCCTGGCTTCTGGTCAACCACCGATATGCCAGGTCCGATGCCCGAAGCTCTGAGCTGAAAAACCCTGCAGAGCTCCTGAAGGAGTGCCATCGCGGCTTCACCCATGGAGAGTGAAAGCCGGGCATCCTGGCGCATGAGCGCATTTTCATGTGGAGGTCGCCAGGGCTTTGGGTTTGAAGGCTTGGTGAAGGCTTCGAGTAAAGCTGATGAAGGTCGCTTGTGTTGCTTGCAGCTTTGATCTGTCGGCCTGGGACAGCGCCAATCCCCGAAGCATCAGC